GAGACAGGGAGAGAGAGAGAGACAGAGAGACAGAGAGAGAGAGAGACAGAGAGAGACAGAGAGAGAGAGGGAGAGAGAGAGAGAGAGAGAGAGAGAGAGACAGAGAGAGAGAGAGAGAGAGAGCCAATAGGGACTTAGGGCCCCCAGCATCTTCCTCTCCTCCTCCTCTCCTGACCATCTGGGCCTCTGATGAGCTGCTGTAAATAATACATCATCATCATCATCATCATCATCATCATCATGAGAAGGCCTGCACACTGTTTACAGTATCGTTACATCACTGTAGACGGAGTGGTTCACTGTTTATACTGCCAGAGATTCATATTGTGTTTGGTTTAGTTTCTCTGAGACGTTCTCAGATTAAAAATGTAAAGATCAGTTTCCCCCTCCCCCACTCTAATCAGTGAGTCAACAGACATAAAAACAGTGTTTGAAGACTGATGCTGGTCTGAACGCAGCCTCACAGAGACCTGGTCTGAGGCTGGTGGCTTCCAGGGAACATAAAGATTAAGTTATATTTCAAAGCTTAGATTCTTTTTTGCAATGCTCAATGTCTGTCTGGGTTAACAATGAGTTAATAACGAGTTAATAATAATGAGTTAATAATGAGTTAATAATAATGAGTTAATAAGCTGAAAGAAACTCACTCATGTTACAACCTTTAAAGACCTTTGAGGAGTTGTGTGACATTTGTGGAGGAGGGAGAGGAGCAGCCTCCGGCGCTGTGTTGGTCAGACATGAAACATCCTGCAGCTCTGAACACGATGCATCACATTAAAACTATATATCACATATTTACCGTCTATTGCACCTGAATGAGTCTATTTTAGTTCTAGTTAGAAGGTCTTATAGAAGTGCATTCAACACTTCACCCCCCACAGTGGAGCTGCACAACAACCATATGATACATGCATGTTAATGTCCAATCTGGCCTTGTTTTAGAGCCATGATATCAACCTTGGAGAGATGGAGGGAGGGGCAGAGAGAGAGAGAGATGTTTGGGTCTAATCACTAATCTGTTGTGTTGAGGCTGCAGACAGCCTCCGAGGGTCTAATTGTATTTTTCATTAGTGCACAATCTCCTCCAAGGCCAGATCAAATGTTTCCATTCCTTCATCTGTTCTGCATTTCTCTGATTATTCAGGATTTAACAATATCATGTTGTTCCACTGTAAAACGACTGCAGAGCAGAGCGAGGTCTGCACTTACTCCCTGTGTTAACAGGTGGATGAAGGAGCTGTGAGACCGGCAGAGCTTCACATATACACTCAGTTTGTAGTTTATTAGGACCAAGAACCTCTAACTGATGAAGTCTGATACAACAGAACTGCAGTAAATCCTCCTTTAAGAAGGTTAAATGTTGAGTTTATATAAAACTGTAGTAGTGAGCAGGTCATACTGTGGAGAGCAGGTACTGATAAATTCAGTCGTCTGCTTCCTTATGTAATAGTCAGAGATTAGAACATTAATTACCACTGTGGTAGAGGAGAGCAGGGACCAATGAAACTCTTCTCAGATAAACGTCATTATAAAAGATAACGTTACAGACACAAACTTGTTTCCGTTGTGATCAATAACTGGTGTAGATACCAGATGTTATTCTGCACAAACACAGTGGTGGGACACATGAAACAACAGTGTAACCTGGAATTACGTATGTTATTCTTGTCTTGGTTCAATATGTCAGACAGATGTTCTGACGACAGCTGTAACACAGTGACAGAAAGGAACCGCTGGATCCTAAATCCTAATTAATCTGTCAGAGGATCACATCAATGACACTTGAAACAATAAACACAACTCGTCATCCAAGTGAATTGACTTATGGTGAGTGTGACGTATCCACGCAGTATTTCACAGGTCTGGTAGGTGGTGTGTGCTGTAGGTGGTGACGCAGTTTGTCTCGTCTGACTTGTATGGGCTCAGAGAAAATCACTGTTCTGTTTGTCCTGTGTCTCATCCGTCTATCCATCTATGTGTCTTTCTATCTATCTATCTATCTATCTTCCTACCTACCTAATATGGCCAACCCTAATAAAAGTAAGATGATGCTCACTGTTGTTGCCGTGGCAACAGTTTGTTTTTGAGAGGACTGTTTCCTGTGTATCAGTCTCCAGAGCTCCTGCAGAGTAATTCATCATAACCAACGGAGTTTGCTCTGCACATGAACACGGGAGGTTTCTACGGTGATTCTGTGACAGTGTCGTTCTGATTGTTGCACAACATGTAATCCGTCAGTCATGAAGAAACCACACCGCCGTAGTCAAGGCAACAAAAGTCAGACCCAAACAAACAGCCGTCACAGTGTGTGTGTGTGTGTG